AATGTTGGAATAAGCACCAAAGGCAGTTTCAAACACGGAGAGCTCACAAGAGCGCAGCATTCTTTATCACAGCACGTGCTCTGCAGGCTCAGAAATTCAGTAAAATACTCATCTTTTTGAGCATTAGAAAGACAAAAAACCCCGTATCCTCAACAATAGCTGCACTTCTGTCATTTTGGCAGTGAAAAGAACACTTCTATTGATGAAGCAAAAACAGAAGTTCAAAAAATGGAAACCTAAAGGACAGCAACATGCGTGCATGTCAGCACAGCACGTGAGTACATCAGCCAACAGAAGAGTTGGACAATTTCATTGCTTCTAATATAAAATGCAAAATATTCAGGCTCCTTTATTTCTCTTCAGCCAAATCAAATGTGCATAAAAAGGCATCCACGAAACAACTTTGGTGTTCTTCTCTATCCAGATTACCCCTCCTGCCCTCCACGAGGGCACACACAAGAAACAGGAAGCTTTCAACACACCCAGACACCACGTGTGCTTCCTGCACCAGCTGTGCATGGAGCTCAAGGCATAACACAGCCATACAGACTGCTGCACTGGCACTGAAGATGCTCAGAGCTCCACTTTGCCTAACAAGCTGCTGATATCCTCCACGTTTTGCAAATCAAGCTCAACTTGAATTCTAAATGTTTGATTCCAAACCAGACAGCATCCCCTGCTCTTACTTTCCACTCCTTCAGTTTTGGTTGCTGCTCTTTACCGCATCTCCTCTTTGCTTCCATAGATTCTGTTTTCCTTCTGGCACGTTGCTCTGCTCTGCCTGAGAAAGAAGCTCTGTCTCTGGCTTCGTATTCTACCTTTGTTCCTACAGTTTCTGCAAGCTAGACAGGAAAAATGATGCCATCTCTTTGAATTCACACGGCAGTGTTACGATGCAGGAAGAACTACCCGCTGACATGGCACTGTTTCCATCTCAGTGACCAACCCATGCGGAAGATCTCTGGGAGGTACAAAGAAGTTACATGGGTGTCACTTGGAGCGCAGTGCATTTGCTGCATCTCTCAGAGGAAAACACACTTCTCTGTACCCACGAGCTGAAGCACGTGGAACTTCACGCAAACAAGCACGCTCCTGACATGAGAACACTGACCAGCAAGCTTTGATCCCAGCGAGGCTTTACGTCACTTTGGCAAACATGTCACAAGAAGACATCTCTGCATTAATGCAAACAATTGCAAGATCATCGTGGGTGTGAGATTAGACATCGGCTACAGGTCCATTGGATTTACGTGCACATGCTGTGTCGGGGGAAGGGATTTTACTGCATCTTATTCCAACAGCTGCACACAAAATACAAGCAGTAAGTGCACGTGTAAGTTCACTCACACTGCTGTATTGACTTTGATTTACGGCGTGCATTTCAGACACCATGTGGGGAATGAAGACAGACATCGTCAGTAAGAAAATCAAGACAAATTTCCTTCCTAAGGTACAAAAAAACAACCAACCCACAAGAGTGTCAGCAAGTTATACACACAGTAAAGAGCATGGTAATGTTCACTAACAATACTAATTCCTTACACCCATCCACTACTCGTAGTTTCCTTTTGTTTCATGAACTAAGACAGCTGCACAGATAACAGACATCTACCAGCTCTGAGCTGATGGTCCTCTTTCTTCATCCACTGTTAACTAAGTAACAGTCTCATTAAATGCTCAAATTACATGGCTTGCTTCATGCACAATCCTACCTCGTGCTGATAGAACGCAAGGATAGGTCTCTTGAGGGGGAAGCACACCGATCCCGTTGACAGAACAGCCACTGCTGGTCTCATCACATTTAGTGTGGCACCAAACGGATACACAAAAGTGAGAGCCCTGCAGAAAATACAGACTCCTTAAGTGCCTGCATGCATCAGATAGGCTCGTCTCATCTATAAAACAGACTATCTGCCTAAGCTGAGAAGTTCAACCGTGCGCTGATGGTGGAATGCCAAGAGCCCCGTTTGAGAAACTCAGACCACCGCAATGACATGACTTTCCAGGAGGTGTTTCTCTTTAGAAAGAAACAGGGTTCCTCTTCTCTACAGCTAGAGCACTCACTAACCAGAGCTCGTGCCTATTCATGTTCAATCAAACTCAAATACAGAGAGAAGGGGAGGGGGGGGGGGGGGAAATATCTGGTCAGGGAAGTAATAATTCCCCTCAAAATCTATCTATCATTCCTGCTCTTTACTTGCTATCAAGAGTCACTGAACAGCCTTCTTTCCAGATAAAGCCTTGGGAAGCAAGAAGCTAACTGACATACATACATTAGAAAAGCTCAGCATCAATTCCTAAATAAATTCCTGCCCACGGAGGCTATCAGTGGACAGGGAGGCCAAAGCTTTTCACACCAGCTGCCCCAAAGCAAAACACTTACTGTGAGTCCTGCCCGTCCCCATCTTCACCTGTTGTCTCAAGCCCTGTTTTTCTTGCAGCTTCACTGATTCCCCTACAGCAAATTGAAAGCAAAGCCTACTGAAAACACTACGGGCTAAAAGAGTTCATTGTGAAGATGCACAGAGCCAAAATACCCACCTATTCAAAACTCCATCAGTGATCAGTGCTTCTTTTGGATGGAAGTACTTGTAATACACATTTCGTACAACAGCATCTCGGATAAAAAAATGAAATAAGAGGCAATCTGTACCTTAACTGGTCAGTATGCTAAACGTAGCCATGTAAACGAGTTTAGCTCTGGGCTCCCTTGAATGTTTCTTTCTAACACTGCCAAGCTGGCACGTGGCCCCCAGAAAAGTTCCTGTCAGTCTTCACTATTGCTTCCTTCCGGACATAAAGATTTAGACCAGCAGCATATTTGCAAAATAAAACTATGAAAAACGACCACATGTCTTCTGCATGTTCTTAGATTAAAAAAAAGTTAAAAGAATTCTTACCAAAGCTTTTAATACATCTCCTAAAGCACGATGATGACCAATAGCACTGACGCACAAAAAAACAGAGAGCAAACAAAAGGAAAACAAAAAATACCAGCCTAGATGCCATCAAAGAGCCTACAGATATTTCCTGTACGCCGAGGCACACGGTTGATTTACACTTTGGCAGTGCAAAATGGATTGCACGGCACTGGTCTCCTCCAAGAAAGTGCCACAGCTGCTTCAGGTGAGGTACGGGGATGGCCAAATTGTTACCAAGCTGCTGTGCCTGTGGAAAGCCCTCGGGGTGCCTCAGCATTACTCTATAGAGCACATACAGATATCAAGAGAAACGCAGCCTGAAAAGATCCAAGGGCACATTTTGTGTGCAGGACCTGCAGAGCTCACACCCTACAGACTGCACTGCCCTTAGCTTTCCTAGGAAATGAAAGAATAAAAGGTGTCAGTGAGCCCCACTACCGTTATTGAAAGCGATCCCGTATTCTTCTAACAGAACGTTAATGTTTGTGCCACGTCTGGACTCGCCGCCTTCACTGAGCATCACCAGGATGGCTCCACCATCCTCCAGGAATTTCTTCAGGACCGAAAACTAAAAGACAACAAGCATCCAGAAGAAAATCGGAAGCGAAAGAAGACAACAGCAAGACTGCAAGAATCACAGCATGGCCTGGGCTGCAAAGGAGCACAGCGCTCATCCAGTTCAACCCCCTGCTGTGTGCAGGGCCACCAGCCACCAGACCAGGCTGCCCAGAGCCACCTCCAGCCTGGCCTTGAATGCCTGCAGGGATGGGGCATCCACAGCCTCCTCGGGCAACCTGTGCCAGTGCACCACCACCCTCTGAATGAAAAACTTCTTCCTAATATCCAACCTAAACCTCGCCTGTCTCAGTTTAAAACCGTTCCCCCTTGTCCTATCACCATCCCCCCTCATAAACAGCCGTTCTCCCTCCTGTTTACACGCTCCCTTCAAGTACCGGAAGAAGCTACACTGAGGTGATTCTGACAACTGCAGTGAATTTGATGCTATGAGAAAAGCATTCCAATCTCAAGCTGTGTAAATTCATACAAAGCAGCAACGTCCAAAATCATCTACGCTGTTATTTCCTATTTTGTTGTAAGATTTGCTTAATGCACAGCCTACGTGCAAACAGGTATGGTTTTAAGTGGCGGGAGGGAAGATTTAGGTTGGATGCCAGAGGGAAGTTCTTTACAGATGACGGTGAGGTGCTGGAACAGCTGCCCAGAGAGGCTGCGGATGCCCCGTCCCTGGAGGTGTTGGAGGCTGGATGGGCAGCCTGGGCTGGTATTAAGTGTGGAGGTTGGTGGCCCTGCCTGCGGCCGGGGGGTTGAGCTTCACGATCCTTGAGGTCCCTTCCAGCCCTGGCCATTCTGTCACTCTGTGATTCTTACCTCAGCAGCGCTGAACTTTTCTCTCGGACCAGCTGTTATCCACAGTTTCACTCCGAGGAGCTTCTCAGACGTGATCTCACCTTTTAAGCTACAAACGGACAACAAAACGACACGGCATTCTTGCCCTGAACCACAACGTTACTGAGAACTGACAAATAAGCATTAAGCGAATCACTCCAGTCGCTTCAATCCCTTCGTTTCGGTTTCGAATTCACAACCTCTCGAACACAAAGCGCCGTCAGCGAGGCCCCGCGGCACAGCCACAACCCGGCCCTCACACAGAGCAAAATCCGTGCCAACGAAGGCCCTTCCTTCTGCGCCCCGACACCCCGAGCCGGGCAGCCGAGCTGCGCAGCACCGCCAGGACGGGGAGAGCGGCGGCCCGGCCCTCACCTCAGGATCTCCCAGCTCCCTCGGAGCCTCTTACGCCAGGCTTTGTAGCTGCTGGCGGGAGTGAAGGCTTCTCCTTTGGAAGCGCTGAAGACGACGGCGGTCCGCGGGCACTCCGCCATACCGCACGCAACGGCTAACGGCCGCCCGGTAACGCACCGCCCGCGCATGCGCAGCAGCCCGCGCTGGGCTGCGTCTCCCAGGAAACACTGCGGCTGGGATCGTACCGACAGCCGCCGGTAGGGGGCGCTGCGCCGTCCAGCCACCCCCGTCCCCCCGGAGACAAGGAGGCGGGAGCGCACGGCGGTGCGTTGCGCTTTAATTGAAACCGCGTGGTGGCTGCGGCGCTGCCGCACGTACAAGAGAAAGGTTCCGTACGAGCTTCCTCAGCGCCAACAGCACTCGCCCCCTTTTTCCTCCTCCCAGCAGCAGTAAGAAAAGGAGTCGAGGAAAGAAAGGGGGGAAGCGGTGCTCAAGCAGTACACCGGCATTTACGTTCAGGCAGAACAAAGATCGTGCGCACATCGCGACAGCCAGCGCCAGAGCAACGCGCGCACCCCAAGGCTTCTGTTGCTGCTGAGGAGCAGCCCTTAGGAGAGCACAGGATCCGCAGCCCTGCCAGCAGCGACTGACAGCTGCTGAGCCCAGCACGAGGCTGCTCTGTCCTCCCCCCAGCAGCGCTCCCTCCTTCCACCAAGGCGGCTCTGCTTCTTCAGCGGCGTCCACTGAGCTCCTCAGTTCTGCTCTGAAGTACTGAAATCCAACGAGCACCTCCAGGCAGGAGCAGGGGAACGCCTGCAGCTACGAGCTTTTGTAGTGGCCCTGCGCAGAAGGCTTGCTGAACCGCCCTGCTTGAACTCCAGCCTTGCTCCTGGGATCAGATCGTCCTTTTCCCAGCCATTCAGATGAGCGCATCCTACTTCAAAAGGAAGAAGCCCACGAGCTTCCCACTGCTGTGCTGTGAAGTTTCCCTTTGTTACAAGGCAGCGTTAGCTCCACACCATAGAAATGACCTGTTCCAGAGATGTGGCTGTGATGTGCGTGATGGTACATATATCTTAGTCATAAATACAACCACGGTGAATACAACCCTACCAAATAGTACAGAGATAATTGTTAGTGTCTCACTTTCCTTGCTACAGGAACACCCACTTAGAGGCAAATCCACCAAGCAGCACAAACTAAGAGCTCCGTTCCATCCCACCCAGTTAGTGTATTAGTCCCCTGGTTTAGACCATGAGAAAGTGACATTACTATTCCTTTCGGAAACTGAAACGAGAAAAGCCACAGCAATAACAGCAAACGTAAAATTGCATTCAGTTAAAACCTGGCTTCTGAAAGCCTGTATAAAATCTAGAAGTCCTCTTCAGTTGGTGCATAAGAAAATCCTAAAAAAGCATCTGAGGCACTGGAGCTGCTGGCTGCTAAGTCAGGTGTGTGGGTGATGGAGGCAGAGATGGCTTCCTGGGTGAACTCTGGGTCGAAGTGCCGCAGATCAGCTGGGCCAGCCTACAGGGGCAGAGGGACGCATCATGTTGGGCAAGCAGAGCCCAAGCACCTGCTTGTGGCCCAGCCCTTATCGCCACCCTTGCAGTGTGTAACCTGCACTTCAGCATCCCTCGCTATCACTGAGGGACGCCTGGGGAAGAGCCTTTGACCTTGCAGCCTCAATTCCTTGTGGGCCAGCCGCTATAAGGCAGACCCCCAATTAAATGCCCACTTACCACATTAGGGTTGAACGGAGGGGTAATCCTCTTGTGGTACAAGTCATCCCAGTTTATTGGGCTGAAGAATACGTGGTTCTTTATCTCAAGCTGCATGGAAAGGGGGAGGAGATGTCAGTTGCCTGCTAACGCTTCTCTCTCAGCACCTGCCAGCTAGTTTCGTAGCTGTAAGTCATTGAAACAAGACTTGGAGCTGCCACACGAACCCTACGTGGACGTGTAGTAAGTCTTTAATCCACGAGGGTCATAGTCCTGTAATACCTGGAAGGGATGAGATGACACCACTGCAGGTATTCTAGCTTGCCACCACATCCTGAATCATAGCATTTCCCTTCAGGAATGAGCCAACCCCATCTACCTCTTTCAGGGAACTGGAAAGACCTACCTACATGGAAAGCCTTTCCCAAGGCAGTGCTGTTACCACAAACATATATAAAGCTCATCGTAGGAAGCCTTCTTATCCATCCTCCCTCCTAATCATAAGAGAGGCCACCTACAAAGTCTGTTTTGGCACCCAGCCTCCTCTTCTGGTCCTTGTGGAGAAGTCCATGCAGGATATCACAGGCTGCCACAGTCTTGCTTCCTTGGATCTGGAGTTGCTTGTGGAGAATGTTGTCATACATTTGAGACACGTCCCGGCTATAAAAGGGAGGCTAATTTGAAAGAGAAGAGAAGCAGCCTGTCAAGTATAAGCTGTGGTAAGGAACCACACATCCTTGGCCAAGATGTGTCCCACAGTGAGAAGTTAAGGGCAACCTGAACTCTGTTCCAATGGTTAAGGGCATGATTGAATCCTGCATGCAGTTACCTGCCTCAGTTGCCCATACCAAGTGCCATAGGAACATGAGGTTGACATCACTTCACACATTTGGAAAATAAGTTCTCCACTAAGTAAAATGTCTTCTAAACTTACCAGTCCAAAAAGCATCTCATAGAGGACAGCTCCAAGGCACCACCAGTCTACTGTCCTGTCGTACGGCTGCTTCTTTAGCACCTCAGGAGCCAAGTACTGGAAGTCAGAAGTAGATACTGTAGTCCACCCACACAGGAAGGGGTTCACCTTTGTAAGTATGCAAACCTGACTGCAGTTCAAGTTCAGCAAATCCATTCGGAAGAACACAGCGGCATCTTCAAATAGGCTTACAAGGATTCTCCGTTTGCAGAGACACCCACCAACACCCAACTCCCCACAGAAAAAAAGTCGCTTTCCTGGGCTACAGAGTGCTTTCTCCCTAGAAACAGTTTGTACAGGGATTGGCCACCCACCAAGAAAACCAGCAAACCTGCCCCACCCTGACGTATTATATTCTAACAGCCTCTTGTCATTCTGAGGTGGTTGCAGTTTCCGTACCCAGTAGGTCTATCCAAAGCAATGAAACTACTCAGAGCCCAGGTGCAACAGGTAAGCATTCATGTGGCCTGCAGGACAAGCAGCACATCAAGTCTGCTCTCACATATGACCATTTCCATGTTATCGGGCTCCCTGTATCAACGAGGCTCTCCCCCTCAGCTCATAGCAGAGCTCCACACGGGCCATACCTCAGGAGTGCCGCAGAACGTAGAGGTAGTCTCTTCTTCCTCCATTCCTTCCTTGCAGAGTCCAAAATCTGTCAACACCACGTGTCCCTGACAAAAAGAATTTCAGCCTGGCCCACTCTCTCATGAGAAACAGCAGGATTGCCAAGCATTGGCCACCACATTTAACCCAATCTATGTTTTAGTGTCCCACTGGTCACTTGTTTTCCTTCCCCTCGCCTCCTGGGTGTCCTATCACGCAAGTAGGAAGTCTATGGAGAAAATAAGTAAGTACAGACATTTTCTAAAGTTTCGCTACAGCTGCACCACTGTGATGACATCCAACGCTTCTGTGCCTCAGCACTGCCTTATCCCAAAGCCAGGTGGCATAGTGTCACCACCAGAGTAGCAGTGACTTACTCTCAGCACTCAAGTCCCTCCCCTCAAGCCAGGTCCCAGCTCTTGGGACCAAGCAGAGTGTTTTGTATGCGGAGTTCTGCAGAGCGTGTGCTTGCTCCCTCTTGCAAGACCTGGACAGAAACTTAGTGGTACATAGATGCAAAAATCCATGCGATGGAATGAGCCACGGCTTGTCAAACCATAGCTCTCTGGTTACGATGCCAATGCTTTGAAAAGGCAGCACAAGAGGTGCATATACCTGGCAATCCAGGAGGATGTTCTCAGGTTTTAAATCCCTGCAAGGCAAAAAACTTTTTGAGCAGATCAGGCTTTTCTAAATATCCGGCCTAAACAGCAACAGCATCAGGTGAAAGGGGGAGCTAACAAGACTTCATCAGCCAACTCACCAAGACCTTTTCAAAGTGCAAACTCCCATTGCTCTTGGGCATTAAAATTTACATATTAATGTAGAACTGCTCTCATGCAGGGTCAGATATTAATTTTCATTTCACTGTGCATGATTTGTCACAGAAATTCTTATTTCCTTAGTAAGGTTTATCCTAAATCTTTGTATGCAGCTACTGTCTTGTCCCCACTACGGGGCTGGGGGTGTTTATTGCCCAGCAGGTCCCTCACGCTGCTGAATGCCACTATGCTTCACACAGACCTAAAAACCTCCTTTCCCTCCCCAGCCCTGCACCCAGCTGGCTGGTGGATCCGTTGCCCCTGCTCTCCCCAGCATGGACGTGTACCTTACCTATAGATGATGTTTAAGGAATGCAGGTAACCAATTGCACTAGCAACCTCTGCAGCATAGAATCTTGCACGGGGCTCACGGAAACAACGCTCTCTTTGCAAGTGGAAGAAGAGCTGAGACACAGACAAGAGGATTTATGGCCACTCCAAAAGCAGAAAGTTATCTTCTGGCCCACAAGCCAGCTACTCAAGGGAAAGCTGATTTATAGCAAGAGGCACACAGACAGCACCAAATAAGCCCAAACCAAGAAGCCTTATTTCACTATCTAAGCACCTTCCCGGGAACTGTTGCATTTGTCTTCCTCATATCAGCCCTGCACCTAAGAAGTCATTGCCCAAAACCTGGCCATCTGCTGGTCTAGTTAAGCTTCCTTGCTAGCTCTAACTCATGAGCCAGTTATAGGTGTACATACAGTATGGTCACAAAACAGTGCTAACCTAAAAATCCCATGCGAGTCAGAACTCTGTGTGAACAAGACATCGGTGTTAATAGCACCTCCCAGCCTGTTTCAGGGAGCACTGAGAGGCACAGCTGTAGAGAGAGCAGCTGTTACAGTTCAGAAAAAGAAGCCTGACATACTGCAGTAGCATCACATCAGCTCTAGCCTGGGACTGAGAGCTGGCACGAGTGAGTTTTCCACGAAGTTCACCAACGCTGGAATTTCTCATGCTCTCCATGGGATTCTAAAGCGTCCCTAACTTTTTTCTCCGCCTACTTGTCTTGATAACCAGCTGGCACAGGTCATCCTCAGCAGTATTTTCACTTATAAGTGAGATGCTTGCCAGCCCCTCCTAGCTGTTCTTTCCAACAAAGTAATGTTATGCTTCACCATTGTTATCTCCTGACAAGAAAGTTTCAGGCAATAAAGCAGAATGGCTGGGAAGAACTGAGCAGAAGATTTAAAGTTGGTACTCACCTCTCCTCCATTTACATAATCAAGCACAAAGTAAAGCTTCTCCGAGGTCTGGAAGGAGTAGTGGAGGCCCACAAGGAAGGGGTGCTTGACATTTTTCAGAAGCACGTTGCGTTCTGCCATGATGTGGTTTTGCTGCAAAAAAGCAGGAGAGGAGACAGCTGTCCAGGACAGTCTGCTCTACAGACTCCCTGTTGTTCTGAACCCATGAGGAATCCGAGAACCCTACGGGTCACATCCAGGCCCAAAGATGAAAGTACTCCCCCCCTCTCTAACTTTGCTTCATCTCACAGATAAATCCATGCTTACTGCGTGCATTGTTGACGTGAACGCTCACTTCAGCCACCAGATGGTTCAATTGCATTACCAGGATTGCTTAGATACCAGTCACCACTGTGTGTGTATGCATGGCCGAGGAGAGCAGACGTACCTCCTTTTTCTTTAGGATGGTTTTCTTATGCAAGACTTTCACAGCATAAAAAGTCCCATCACACTTGCGTTTGGCCAGGAAAACCTGCAACAGAATCACGTCACAGCTTTGAGTCCCTGACTCCTTCCCCACTAGCTGGGCTTTTGGAAGCGATTACACAGCTTTGGACGGTCAGGTACAAAGTTTTAAAAACCTGGCTCCAGCCTACTGTCTTCCCCCACCCAGGGGTTGCAAGTTGCCAGAAAAAGACACTCAGCATCTCCAAGTATCTTACACACTGGACAGAAAGTGGTAACAGAACATTTAGAGGCAGTCCTGTTTCAAATTCATCACTGACATCTTATGAAGCACAACTTTGCCTAGACACCTTCTGCTAATTGAAGCCACCTGAGGCTCCATTACAATCATTCTTTTCAGTCAAGTGCTGCTCATCACCACCTTGAGCATGAAACACCCCAACTTCTTCCTAGAGTGGCTGCGGGGGAGCTCAAAGTAAGAATGGACTGTGGAAACCACTCTCGAGTCCCATCCTGTCTCAGTCCCCCTCCAAACATGGCCAAGATCCTCAGGAGAGGTACAAGCAAAGGACAAATTCCTTCAGTTAGGGCATCTCTAAAAAGCTATGGCCCACCAGCGAAAGCCTACTTACTTTTCCAAAGCTTCCTTTGCCAATAACCTTCAGGAAGTCAAAGTCTGTTGGCTTGGCACTGTTGAGCAAGAATGAAAGAAGTTAAAGTTTCCAGAAGAAAAACATGCAACAGCAGCTCCTTTAGCAATGCAATCATCCTTCTTGGGAGCTGAAGCATTTGTGAAAGTGACTGAAGGACACAAGACAGGTGGCCCTGCCAGCCAGCAGTCAGCAAGCAGGGGATTCAAACTACATGTCAGTGCACTGAGCAAAGGGCAAGGAGCCTCTCAGGAAGCCACCTTCTGAGGTAGCTTACCCTCCTTTGTAGCGTGAAAAATCAGTTTGGAAGCCAGTAGTAATGGGGAAAATTTCACCCTATTATCCATCAGAAGAGGGAGATGTGATTAGAGGCTGCAGGGGACATGGACAGAGGATGATCATGGAACAGGAATGAGCTGTAGCTGAGCGTCTTGAAACCTGATGCACAGTGTTAAAAGCTAAGTGATGTAGCTGTTAAATCTTTTGCAGATACCACCCTTGCAGGACACAGGGAGTGCCTGCTTCCCCCTGCCAGATCTCTTCACAGAAAGCTCCACACCCTACCTGGCTTCTGCAGGGAGCTTACTTTGGGTTAGCAGAAGGTCCAAGGTTGATGTTGTCAGTTGGTGTTGTAGGCTAGAGAGGAGAACAGCAGTTTTAGTCACAAGAACATGCTGCATTTTGTGTTTTCCTGTCCTTTAACATAGCACCCCTTATCTTTAATAGGCATTTCAGTGAGTTATGTATGAGATTGGTAAACTAAGTGATGGAGAAAGGGAAGATTTATGCACTGTGGCAATATCATGCCCAAGCTGGAGGCGACCTTACGCATAGTAGCACTGCAGGTGCGGCCTCCTTCTTCCCAGTGAGAAATTCACTACATACACATCAGACAAATACATCGCCCTCATCTCATTCTCACAGACTCTGGGGACATTATGCTTTACTCAAAAAAGACTACAAGAGGGCTTCTTCCTCTTTTTTTCCCCACCAGCATCACCCCCAGGGACAGGGCAGAACTGGATCTGCCAGCAGGCTAACCCAGGCAATCCCTCACCTTTCTCCTATGGTAACTTTCCCCTCTCCATCCCCATGGTAGGCATTGCCAGCTCCAAGCTGGGATCTCACCTGGGCACTGCTGTCTGGGGTCCGGGAACGATCCATTAAAATAGCAACTCGTTCAGCACTGGGGAAGAGAGCAAGGGAGCAGTGAAAACCAAATCCAATAGAAGCAGCTTCCTACCATTTACTGACCAGGTATGATCATGCCTCCATCACAGAACATCAGCTGAGGTTCCCAGCTAACTCCTTAGAGGAGTGAGTGTGGTGGGAAGCAGGACAGTAGTGGCACATCAAACATACCAACAGGAGATGGGGGGGGGGGGAGAGAAGCTTCACAGGTGCACAAGGAGTTTGAAAGATTACAGACTTCCTAAACACCATGGCTGGCCTTCAGTTTGGGATGGCAGCAACTGGTCAGGGCATCGATACACGGAGACCAGCAGAGCCTCAGGCACCCACCCCACTGCACAGGGATGCCACAGCCCCCAGCCCTGCAGTGCAGCCAGGTGAAGCTCCTTGGTGCCCTGGTTGGCTTAGACCTGTCCTGCTTGAGCATTGCTGGGTCCTGCCACAACAGCAGTTCCCGTTAGCTTAAAGGGCTCTGCAAAAGTCAGGATTAAAGGGATGATAACAGGAAGGGGGACAAAACCAAAATCTGTTCCTTCTCCCTTGCTCCAGAAAGCGTTATTCCCCCCTTCTCTCCCCTCCCCTAAGGCTCTGAATCCCAGGCAGAGCAGCTCTGAACATTCCTCCCTCCCCACTCTCCCACCCTCTCTCTGCCTCACCCCATGCACAAAGGCACGCTGAAGTCCCCACCAGCCCCCCCAAAATCTCACCTGTCAGCAGTGCCCCTCTCCGCCCCATACACAGACCCATGGTCACCCCACACCCAGCAGGGCAGCGCAGGGCTGGAGCTGCAGGGTGGCAGCAGGCACTGGCGGCCATCCCTGGGACAGCCCACATCCGACCAGTGCCAGCCAGTGCCATCCACCACCAGCATCATCAGGCTGAGCTTTTAAAGGGCTCCCGGACTCAGTGGGTTCCATACTCACTATGAGCAGAGCCTGGAGCCGGATGCCTTGATGGTTTGTTCTATCCTCTCACGGCCGTGCTTGATGAATTCTATGAGGAAAGTTGGAGCACAGAGCTGATCAGCAGGCAGTGCAATCACAGGCACAGAGGCATGTTTGTTCTTCACTGACCTTGCTCCTCTCCCCACAGCCGCCTTCCTCCCCTCCCACCCACATACCAAAATAACCACGAAATTACAGGAACCAGGACAGCTCCCTCCCAACACAAGAGCCCTCAAGAGCTCCCAGGATGGGGACAGAAGCCCCAAAGCAGGTGCTCCCCTCCTCCAGGACAGAGCAGGACCAGGGCTCCCGCAGCACCACCAAGCCCCTGCCAGCTATTCTGACCCCCGGAGGGATGAGCAACGCTCACAAGGTTGCTGCTGTGCTGAGACACATTGCACACTTGGCACACGTACGGCCACTTTCATTCAGGGCTCTGCAAGTAACGATGGGCCTGAATGAGACCTTTCAAGGCCTGCAGGAGGTGAGCCAGAGCCTCGGCCAAGGGAATGCAGCCAGCATCAGGATCCCCACCCAGGAGCAGCTGCCAGTACCCATCATCATCACCATCACCTCCGCCCTGGAGGAAGAGCAGAGCCCTGAGCACACTGCACATGGGATGGCCTCAGGAGCTCAACCTGAGCATGGGAGTTCTCTGTTTACTCAGCAGCAGATAACAGAAAAATTCTAAGGCTCATTCTCACCCTCTGGACAGATTAAAACATCCACACGTGTACTTCCTCCCCTCCCTTAAAAACAAGTGCTTTTGTGGACACAAGCAAGCTGTAATACCAGAATAGTTCTACTATGGCCAAAGCAGTGGCTGCCAGAAAACACCTCCCCAAACAAGAGGCTAGTAGGATGACACATTCTGGGAGGAAACAAGCCCAAGCCAAACTGTAGAGCCCATTCACATTACAACAGGAAATGCAAATATTCAAAGCAAACCCCATGAGGCATTTGGCAGCACCTCACCATGCAGTGAATACAGCAGCCCTGCAGCACACGCCAGAAGGGGCAGCACCCGGGCAGCTTGAGCCTGCTCCCTCCCACCGGGCACAGTCCTCGTTTCCCTGTTTGCCTCCCCAGCCCACTGAGGTTTGCTGAAGGTCACCTGAGTCATTTACTGTCTGCCCCACATGCTGGCAGACAGACTGGGATAGTGCAGGCACAGTGCAGGAAGCTGAGCCCTGACCCAAAGCTGGGGATAGGGTCAGTGCGGGTGACTGGGGAGCACGTGAGCAAAGCACAGAAATAACATCCATATAGCAGTACCTGCAGGAAACATGGGACATTGGGCAGGAGGGGCTGGGAGCTGCAGCGAGGCACAGCAGCGCTGCTGAACAAAGGCAGGCAGTTCCACAGGGACATGCATGTATTTCCACCCCCTCTCCCCACCCCACACCCCCATGCTCCACTCTGCTCTGCTGTTCCTCCGCTGCCAGTGGAGATGTTCAACAAGTCCCCGCTGACCACAGGCAGCACTCCATCAGGTGCACGCTCTCTGAGGCAGGAATCTCTCTGCACTGAGGCACCATGCACAGCACTAGGCAATGTCCATCCCCATCCTATTCCACTTCTGTTCAGACCCAGAGCCACTTCCACCATCAGCCTGAACTCACCTGCAAAGCCTGGCCAGCTCCTGATTGCTCAGTGGATTAGAGCCCAATAGGCTTTTCCTTATTGCTAACAAACCCCTCTCCCCCGAAAGCACAGAGATTTCCCGCTGCACACATACACAGAACAACGGAATCAGAACTAGGTCAGGGAAGCACACAGGAGCTCCGGGTTATCCATGCCTGGCTGCATCACTCCCTGCACACACGGGGCAGTAGGGATGCTCCAGGCACAGGGCCATGGAGCATCACCAAGTCCTGAAGAGTTCTGTGGCACAGTGACTTACTGCATGCCAGGAGCACAAACCATGCACACCATAGCCCTCCCCAGCTAGCATCACACCCAGCACCGAGCTGCTACTTACAGGAGCACTCGCTGCAGTGCAGTCTCTCCCCAGAAGCATCCCTCAGTAACACTCCTAACACACAGCAGCAGCTCCCTCTTCCTACAGCAGCTCTGCCAGCGGTGACCCACATTCCCATGCCAGCCCAGCATTATTTGCTACAAACACATTACCAATGCAAGGCGTACCTTGCAGAGAGGCAACCTCATGGACGCGTCATGTGCGGCTGCCTCCCCCCCTCCTCCTGATGTCAGCACTCTCAGCACTGCTTCATACCTAACCCAGATTGCAAACCCACTCCCATGCTGGGAACGCAAGGCAGGATGGCCAGCGGGGCTTCGGAAGGAGCACAGGACTTAGAAGGAGCCACCAGGGCAGCCCACAGCTCCCATCCTGCACACAGCACGGGGGGATGTCCCAGTTTCAGCACAGAGCAGGAGCACAGGTGGTGGGAAGGACTTCTGCAGGCACAGTGTTCCGCTGGCAAGGAAACATTCAGCTTCCCTCTGCTACAGATCTGAAAGATAGCTGCAGGCCAGCACTGCTTCCACACTTATTAGAAGCCAGAGGAAGGTGAGAACACAGAGGAGGAAGAAGGCTTTAAGGGCTCCTTCACTTGTGGAAGTGCTCTGAGCTGTCCCTCAGAGCTCCTCACCCAGTTATCTCCTGGGGATCCCATCTCTGACGCCTACACAGCACTGCAGAGTGGGAAGGTACAAGCTGAGCAGTCCCAGCTCCAGCTAGAGCCTACAGACAGCAGCCTTCAGGATTCTAGAGAGAAAGCTGTGTGCAAACCTGGAAAAACAGCAGGTGGCTGAAGCCCGCAGCACTTTGCAAAGATGAAGACAAAAAACTTAAAACTAAAAACCTGCAAAAACAGACAACAAAACATCAGCCACACACCTGGGAGCACATTGCCCAGCATAGGCTGCGCTGGGAGGCACAGGAAGCATTGTGCAGGAGGTGAGCATGCAGTCCCCTCACTCCCCATCCTTGCCCCAGCCCAGCCCACCCCCAGCAGCTCTGTAGCCCCAGGGGCCTCATCCCCACACCCCAGCAGGGAGCAGCAGGGCTGCCTGCAGCATAGCATAGAGCTCATGGGCACCCTCCTTGCTCTGAGTGCTACTGGTACACTGCAGCCTTATAGAGAGAGCAGGAAAGCTCGTCAGCAGCTAGCATGACCAGGCACCTGCCAGATATAGTCAGGGGCTGGAGCCCAGCTGAGGGTGATGGGCTGTGGGCTGCTGGGGTCCTGTCAGGTGCTTTAGAGCAATATTTTGCTTGTTTTAGTCAGCTGGGCATTTGGTCATGTGGTTGGGAGGAAGGTTAGAAGTGCTTGAACCTAGAAGTTCCTTACAGAGTACTCCTCCTGCCTGTGGTGTGTGGTTAAATGCAAACATGGACATGTGGAGAAGGAGAACCAGAGACAAAGCTCTGAGCAAAATTGCAGAAGGGCTGGTGTCTTCTCTCTCTCATCATTAAAAATAAAAGAGTCTCCTTCGGCTTCTGTTGTCATTTCCTATAACATCTCCTGACTGTGCCTGCAGCAGGAGCGGAACCCACCCAGCAGCAGCTCTGCCTGGTGGTGTGCACTGCCATGGGGCTGTGGGTGCTGCAGTGCCAGCAGTGGGTGCTGCAGTACCAGTGATGGAGGGAACCCCACGCTCTATGTCAGGGCTGTGCTCGCTGCTGCAGTGTGCCTGATGGGAGCGTGATGGGAGCAGTGCTTGAGCTGTTCCCTCCCAGCCCTCATGACTGCTCCCACAACTGCCCTTCTCTCCCACCCCAGAGCCTTTTCCCACCCATTACCCTTTGTCTTCCCCAGGGCGCTGGAGGAAGGCTCCATCCAGACTTGGGCATCAGGGCAGCCAGCCCTGGGTGTCCTTAGGCAATCCCTGTGTGAAGGCAAAGAGCACATGGTGAAAGGAGGGATGATTGTGGGTGGCTGTGCTGGAGGGCACATGTGTCATATGGGCACACGTCCCTGTAGGGCCACACACCTTGTGCACAAGGCACACAGAACCCTTCATCCCCCACACGCTGTGTCCCCATGTGTCCCCCATGGTGTGGGTGGGAACTGGCACTGAAACTCAGCTCTTAAATCGTTAACCCTTGATGCAATTAAGCATCGGCCAACAGAGCTCCATGGCAGTGAAGCAGCAGGACACTGCCGTATGGCTGCTGGTCCCACTGTGACAGCGTGCCAGGCTCCTCAGCCCTGCCAGTGTCACCTCCCAGCCCTGGGGACACCCTGACAGCTATGGGACACAGACAGGGACATCAGCCCCATGGAGGGAGCATCACCCCAAGCTGGCTGTCCCCATGTGCCCTGGGGGGATAGCAGTCACAGAGGTCCCCCTGGTGCGGGTTAGCCTGGTTTCCTAAAGAGAAGAAATGAATTCCAGGTGCTGCCAGCATCACTGTCTGGGGAGCAGGGGGTCACTGCCCTGCTGCCATGCAGCTTCTATCCAGGAAGGACCCCCTGCCCCATCGCGTGTGTATGCTCTGTTTTGAATTGTTTCAAGCAGCTATTGCGTAGGGAATGTGTGTGGTTAAGATAGGGCATGTTATCTTCATCTCCCTATCAGGCAATATCCATACCCATAATCATAAATGTGTCACTTGCAGAGGAAGCGCATGGTGCCAAGCAGCTGGGATTACAGGGAAGGGCTCTGATAAGGGGAAAACAAACACTTCTGCAGAAAGCACTGTGTCAGCCTCCTTCAGACAGCAGTGAAAGGTGACCCCAGCACTCGAGGTGTCAGCAGGGGCTCTTTGGGGCTGGGTTATCAGTGCTGCAGGAGGGATGAGGTGGGACAGAGTCAAGTGGGACAGGGATAGGAAAATCTTTAAAAGATCTGAGCCCATTTCTTCCTCTAAGAGGATTCAACAAAGGCTGAACAGACTGTACATGGACAGTGCGGTTCTCTAAAATCTTAGAGCAGTGCAGGACTGGCCCTGAGGACAAGGGCAGAGCAGCAGTTCTGCACCGGATCGAGCAGGGCTCAGCAGCACGGTGACGGCTCTGTGAGCTGCCTCCAGAGCCTTGCTGTGCTGCCCTCATTAAGGGCACTCACGTCCCATGAGCAGCCCCTCCCAGTGCCCAAGAGAGGCTGTCCCTTTGCAGAGATGTGAACGCAGCCACCTTGAGCTCCGTGAGATCAAAACTCCATCTTTGGTGCACATTTAATACAAGAAATCTTGTCACCTCCTGCTGTATTTCCAAGGGTGAGGATGCTATTTCTCTCCTCTCTGGAGCTGTTGTGATTCCTGGGAAATGAGCCTGATTTCAGGTTGGATACTAGTAAACATTTCTTCTCCAAAAGAGTGGTGATGCAGTGATACAGCTGCCCAGGGAGGTGGTGAGGTCGCCATCCCTGGAGATGTTCAAGAAGTGTGGGGATGTGGCACTGAGGGATGTGGTCAGTGGGCATGGTGGGGAGGGGTGGGGTTGGACTTGATGATCTCAGTCTTTTGCAACCTTAATCATAAAATCACAGAATCATGAACTATTTGGGTAGAAAGGGCCCTTCCAGCCCATTGCATTCCAACTTCGCCTATGGATTGGCTGCCCCCATCAGAGCAGGCTGTTCAGGGTCCCACACAGCCTGGTCTTGGGCAGCTCCAGGGATGGGGTACCCACTCTTCTCTGGGCAGCACTGCCAAGGCCTCTGAGTAAAGAATTTCCTCCTAACATCTGACATGAATTTTCCCTCTTTTAGTTTAAGTATCTCTATGATTTTATGATTCAGGATACCTGAGCCCTCCTGCTCCCAGCTGCCTCCCCTGCACCCCCATCCTATGCCCACCAACTCACCCAGCAGTGAGGGATGAGCCCTCCACCAAAACTTCTGTGATTGTCCCAAGCTGGCTCAGCCCTCAGGAGAAGAAGGGAAAGTCGTGGAGAAAGCAATGCCTTTACCTGCAGCAGCGTGGGGCAGCAGTCCTGCAGCAGCAGCAGAGGCAGTGCTCCCCTCCTACCTGCCCTGGGCTTTTGTTCCGGTGATTCAGTCTGAAGGTCGAAAGAGAAGTCAAAAGGAGTGGCCTGTGGTAGGAGTAAATGAGTGGCCTGTGGTAGGAGTAAATGATTAGCAAGGGACGGAAAGAGGTGGGTGGGAGAGGAAAATCTCTCAGTGGGGCAACCAGAGGACAGCTTGGCTCCAGAAAAGAGCAGAGGGTGAGAGCAGGAGTCACTGCTGCTCACCAGGGCATGCAGCTCCCGATCCAAAATGCAGGGCAGTCTGCAGGTCTGAGGCACAAGTGCTGTGCTCGGCTGTGGGCTCCTGACTACAGGAAAGACAATGAGACCCTGGAACCTGTTCAGAAAAGGGCAAGGAAGCTGAGGAAGGTCTGGAGCACAACAGGGTCTTATGGGGAGTGGAGGCTGAGGGAACTGGGATGGTTCGGTTTGGAGAAGAGGAGGCTGAGGGGAGACCTTATTGCTGTCTGCAACTCCCTGAAAGGAGGTTGTGGCGAGGTGGGGGTCAGCCTCTGCTCCCAGGGCTGCAAAGACACAGAGCAATAAGGAAACCTGTTCCCCCCTGGTGCAGATAAGGCCTTTGTGCCATTCGTTTTTGGAATGAGAAGGTCTGGAGGATGCTGCAGCACATGACCAGAAGCTACATATCTGCAGTCAGAAGCCATGGAGATCATCCTTTTCCATCCTTTTCTTCCATTTCTGCTACTATTCTGGGCTTTGTTTTGCTCAGCCCATTGCATCTCTTGCTGAAAGGCTGCACATCCCCAGCAGAGCCGAATCCATGTGCTGTCACTACTGCTAGCACAGCACTGAGATGTGTGCTGGGCAGGTGGGGGCTGCCTGCACCACAGTACCACCACAGGGGCTCCACCACGGCCACAGCCATGCTGAGAGGACAGAGCCTGGGCTCGCTCTGTGAGCTGCTCATGCATTACCCGACAGAAGCACAGAGGGAAGCGCTTGAGCAGAACTGACAGCAAGACGAAGCCCAGGGGGGCTCCCAGAATAATACAGCACTTCCCGCAGCTTACGTCAGCCTGTGCCCCTAACAGCAGCCCTTTGGCCCCTAACAAATACAAAACAAAGGGCTGTGTTGGGCCCATGAACATCCAAGGACAGAGCACAGTGCGATCCCAATGGGGAATGCAGTGAGAGAAGGGCCCCGGAGCTGCAGGGTGCAAAGCAGATGTGAAGCACAGCCGCAATGCTGCAGCACCCAGCCCTCCTGCCAAGGCTGTCCCAGTGCTGGGCACAACCCATGGGAAGGGAGTCAGGAGCTCAGCTCAAACCAGGGCTCCTCCAAGTCCCATATTTCGGTTTGTTCCCTCTTCTCTACCTTTGGTTGTAAGGGATTTGGGGACTGGCCCCCTCCCCTTTCCCTTCCAACACCCACAAACCTGGTGCCCAACCCTGCCCCTGCCCAGCCCAACGAAGCAGGCCAGCTCCTCGGATATGTTTTCTCTTTATTGTTTGATATATTTATGTACCACATTATATGTTAAAGATAGACTTTTTTTTTTTCTGATATACATTTTTCATCTTATTTACCACAATGACACCACACATACATTGGAAACAGCTCCACGGATCTGGTAGATTGCACAGAATGAGTTTTGTCTTGGTTTTGTTCCTGCATCCTGAACGACGTCAAATCCAACAATATTTATTTTTCTCTTTTCATTATTCAGAAATAATTCTTAAAATGAAACAAACAAACAACAACAACCAAAAAATAAAATAAAATAAAATAAAATAAAATCACTGAGAAGTGGACTCCAGGTCTGTGAGTTGAACCAGAGGCAAAATGCAATCAATGGGAAGCGCCATTCCTCGTGTCAATCCGGGTGGAAGAATTAAGCAGTCTGACATCGATGTGACTACAGTGTAAACATTGCAGATGACTGCAGCGCTGGCCGTCGGCCGGAGCGTGGGTTGCTGGGCTATTCCTACAGTCTAGGTCTCATCTACGTCTGTCTCGTGGTGTATGTAAAGGAATGTTGCTGCTCCCAGCACCCGCAGCCTGTCTGCTTCCATCTGTAAACACAACCCCATCGGGTCGGCAGCTCCTGCGGCACTGCAGTGCAGATCTGCAGGCAGTGCTGGGAGCTGTTATCCTTTCCCGATGGTTCATTCGTGGGGCTGAGCTTCAGGCAACCGGTGAGGAGGTCGGGGTGGGGCACCGTGGATTTTCCTTCCAAATATTTGAAAGAACAGAAAAATAAATATATATATTTTTAATCTTAGCTTATTTAAAAAGACGGCAGGGCACGCGTTTTCATCTCTTCTGATTTCATTTAATTTGCAGATTCTATAATGTAGGATTTGTTGGATGTAACGAAAGTAATGACTCCTCCTTGAAGGGACGCAGAATCTCACGGCTATGCGGATGTTCGATGCTATTCTACTGCCACCAGCTCTGGCCCCTCCTTAGTCTTCAGCATTGGTTCTAAATGCCTCTATGAGGCCTTCTAAAGAGTGGATGAACCCGGAGACACTGCAGATCCCTCCTATAACGAAAATGGCGACGTCAAAGAAGACGTGGTGCCACAAGAGCTTCCTCCACAAGAGCTTGAGGTGGAAAAGACTGGGGAGCAGGAAACAGAGGCCCGCACCCGTGAGGCTCCCAGTGAGACCCATCAAGAGGGCAAAGTGTGGGACGTAGATAGCCATGAGCAGGGTGAACACCACCAGGGCACACCTGAGAGTGAGCCCCCAGGACTTGAGCCGCCCGTCACCTCCGTAGCAGTTGGGGAAGAACGCCCTGTTTCCATCC